AAATGTGTAAAAATTTACAACGGCGTCAGATAACGGAGAAATTTCGATCAGAAAAGCTCACTTGCATCTTTGGCTCAGGTGAGCTAAAAGAGACTTCCATAGTAAAATTTATTATGCAAAAAGCGATCAAAGTGTAGCACAATTACGCATCCCTGTGAAATCCAAGATGTTAATCTCACACGCGTGCATATTTAAAAGATAAATCAAGACAATCTCTCATGTTTTATCTAATTATAACCAGTTGTCCAAAATGTCGATTCTAATGCGTATAATTATGGTGTTCTTCCAAACACTGATATTTTAATAATTCTCTGACATCTGTCCAGGATATTTTGCCTCCTTTGTGGAATGGGCATCAATAATCTTTAATTTACTTGTAAATGTATTTGCCAATGAAGTCATCCTTGAACCTATTATAAGCAGCTAAATTGCAACGTACATTACCCGTTAGATGCAACGACAATTCATTAGAAGTGTACATTTTTCAAAATAAGATTTATATTCATGAAACTTACCTGTCTAGAAAATCTCTAATGCAAAAGAATGGGACAATGAATTCTTATATTTCTTGTAAGGTCATGAATTTTCCTCCTCTGTTGAGAGTCTAAATGGGTTTCAATATCTATTAACTTGGGGAATGTGAATTGTAAGTCAAGCATACATTTTTTTCTAAAGTTGGCAGCTGGATACAATGGAAAATTAGTTGGAAGAGACAACCAAACGGAAGAGGAACATCAATCCATTACTCTCAAAAGAATAACGGAGAGAATGTATTCTCCCGGTACTTCCTTTCCTAAGTTTCTATAGAGGGCACATTGTTTCCTATTAATAATCTGGTGGCTTGCGTTTTCAAGAAGAGAAGTCTGCGCAGTGTTTTGAGACCTAAAAATGTTGGAAATATACATGCAGATATATCAACACAAGAGTGATATTGACTTTAAAATACTTTGAATAGCAAAGTTGTTTTAATAAATAACATCTCATTAGCTTCATTGCAAAAATAAAATAATAGTAACATTTGTGTTTTTCAGAGTAACTGCGATTTGCCTCTTCTTTAGCCCAAACACAATAGTTTCTAGCGCGGATCTAGAGGGGGTTGGGAGTCCTATCCTAATCCCCCAAACACACATGAAATAGGTTTGTCAGGTTTGGTTTAGGCCACAGGCACTTGGGGTATGAAATCCACCACCAACCCACCCACCCCTCCTTTCTATTTTTTTTTTAAATCTGGGGTCAAGTCATCTTTTTCCTATTTTTGTATTCTGACATGCACTATAAGTTATCAATAATGTAACTCTTTTGTCTCACTAAGCTGTTTTTTAAATATATATCGTTTTCGACTGATACATAAAAAGAGAGATGTCCGACATTTATTTGAGTAAAAAGAAAATAATAAAAATTTATAAATGAAACTGTTTGAAAATTTGGCATTAAAATTGTTGATTTGAAAAATGAAAAAGTCAGCCATAAAAAAAATACAACCAAATAATCCTGATCAGGTGTGCATCATCTGAATATGTTTTAAAATTCTCAATAAAACAAACAAATTCCTCTGAATTTTGCAATTACCAACATTTCGTTTTACCTCGGATGTTGTAAATCAAGGAAATAAAAAGCTGATAAGTATAGACTTTTGGAATGCCTTTTTTCATCATTTTATTTCTTGGGATTTTTATAAACGATTTAAAAATCAAAATTTCAAACACCTGTCTTGCCATCTTTTTTCCAAGCAAGCAAGGGATTTTTTGTCACATTCCTATTTACAGATAAGACAGTGCAAGTCAAATTGAAATCAGACATTTCTAAATCAGTTGTGATAGTTGTGAGAATTTAGGAACAGACTGTCTCCATTTTTGTCACACAAATAACAGTTTTTCACTTTTAAAGAAACCATATACATACATGGTGAGTTAAGCACACTATACATTTTACCCATGCTCTATAACAAACCTATGACGACAATTGGTAATGTGGCTGTCGTGAGTTAGCCAATGTTCTTTAGAACACCCATCAAAATGACAGAAAGTTTGTATCAACAATACATTTTATTCTATAGTTACTTTGGTACAACTTACCATGAAATGGTCGTTTGGCGTTTTTGTGTCGGGTGAATTTCAGATTAATGACTTTGAAATGTATTTGTTACTTCGAATTTGACGTTTTAATTGGTGTTTTAGAAATTCAACAACAAAAAATATCCTGAAAATTCTTCTTTTCAATCGAGGTTGTATCAAATGTGAAAACTGTCCCTAGTGATGCCCAAACACCTTAAGAACAATTCCTGTATTTTTCCTTTAACAATGGACTATTCACATTGTAACATTTGACTTGGAAGGTTGAGTAAGGGTGTCCTGTGTCGGTAGATTTGAATTCATTATCTCTTTGTTGGGGTTTGGTCCTGTTGTAATATTATATCAATATCTTAGTTACTTCCAAAGATTTATAAGATAATTAAAACGACCACAGATGCAATTGACGATGCAATAGATTATGTAAATATTTACTGAAGATGTCATTAACTGGTGGTTAAATGACATAAAAAGCATGAATCTCGATACCCCGCTATCAACCTGTCGTAGTTATTTATAGTTCTGGTAACGACCACCCTCACTTTGGTGCTGGGAATGCGACATAAAACGGGGTTGAAACCCCTTAAAGTTTGAGCCTGTAGAAGTATGGATGTTTTACTATCAATACGAACACTCTAACTTTATTTCTTATATTGCCAGCATAAATATGCGGGTAGAAATCAAATTTGAAATTATTTAACTTTAAACGATTCTTTTGATTTAGAATAAGAGTACTTCGAATATACACGTACATTTTACAAAATGAGAGTTTATATTAAAAGAATACTGAAAACGCTCCGTTACAACAAAAATTTTAGATGTGAACGAGTGCTCGATCAATCGACTACCACTCGATCATACTGATCATCGACCCAAAAAAAATAATACTCGATTAATTGCAATAAAATTAAAAAAGAGTGGTTTGTCAAGGCTTGGTACAATCTACAAGGTGTAATTATTGACCACTGTATTGCAGATATGCTGGGTAGCTTGCCACGAGACAAACGATCCTCTAAAAACTGTAAATTTTCAATTGATCTAAAAATTTACATCGAAATGTAAAATGTATGGGGAAATTTTCACAATACAATGATATATTCAGAATTTTGAACTGAAGAGGAAGAAATACAAGTACAATGCCATACAAAAAGTTTGTTCTTCCCGAGTTGTAGAGATTTTTTAAAAACAATATAGAGTCTTCTTCCTGTTCGACTATTTGTAGAGATAATATGAAATTTGAGTCGGCCTAAAGGTCACACGAGAGCAAAATTTAGGTGGTGATTTTTCCCTTCTTTTCTATTTTAAAAGCATGTTTATTTTTCAGTAGGAAGAATGCATAATACCGGGTATCTGAAAAAAAGAAAGAAAAAGGTTTAAGAAGTAAATTCAGTATTTTATTCCTCTTTGGAATACGTTGAAGACATGATTTTGACCAACTTGGGTCTATTATATACACTTCAGAATACATTTACCTGGAATATGCTCTGTGCGTCTTCTTCGATTAATCGGCTATCACTCGACTAAAATCACAGATTAATTGATGAAGCCCATACTCTATAAACTGTTATTTCTCAAGAACTACAGTAGTTGCAGCGCAACACAACACTTGGATGTCTGAAGCTTGGCCCTGAGAAAAAACATTTTCATTACACACAAAACTTTTCAAGTAACCATATACCCAATAAAATATCCAATACTGATGCTTGTCTTATTCTGTGCATTTTTATTTTTGCATTTATAATTTAATGACTTGTTGGATGTTTTTAGGTTAAGCACTTTCTCTTATTTGACATTGATTGGATGATTGGTTTATTTTAAAATATTCTTTATTTGATAAAATTTAAACCTCAATCTCCCACCCCCTTTATAGGACTTTGATATCTGTTTGTACTGTCTTAAGGCACTCAATTACCATGGTTTGGACGTGTAAACTGTGACACGAGACCATCTTTAGCTGTAAGTGTTGCATGAACGACGCATCCCACTTCGAATACTTGAAATGGCATTCTGAACATGGGTTCATTTGAATTCCATGTTTTGACAATTTTCTTATACATGCATGCAATGAAGAATGTGACTACGATGTATCATAATGATCTATTGAATTTTTTTATTGATTTATCTTAGATTGACCTCTTTTTGGCTATGTGCACTTGTAACTAACGTTCCCAGGGCACAATACTTATCGGGTTCACTGGTGATGTGTTACTGTTTTGCAGGAACGCCTTGGGACCCCCCCCCCTCCCCCCGCATCAACTCGGTCAGGACTCTTTTCAATATCTTTGTTACTTCACATAGGAATCTCTGTAACTAAGTTGATTTATTTTGAAGGTGTTAAATAGATTTTACACTTTAAATTGAAGATAAATTATAGTTTAATTTTGAAGATGGTTACTGACGTTCTTGAACATTATAATACAGTAATTTAGTAAAGGATATTCAATTTTTATTGCTCTACAGCCTGTTATATAAAAAATGAAGAATTCACGTAAACATATATATATATATATATATATCAGTATATATATATATATATATATATATATATATATATATATATATATATATATATATATATATATATATATATATATATATATATATATATATACATTACAAACTTATATTTTAATGTATGTAATATAGATTTATTTTTGTACAATTTACGCCCATGTTAGCGAGTTAATAGCGAAAGCTCCAGCTCTCCATTTCAAAATAATAAACCCCCTATTTAAAGGTAAATAAACTTAAAGACATTTTACGCCAGTTTGAACATCTCGTATAAATCATAACAGGTTCGGTTTTATGTTGATGTTTTTAATAAAAGAGGGATTTTCCTCCATTGATTAACGTTACGGCCTACTAAGGGTTTCGTCCAATCGTTTTGCACGTGAAAGCCTTACGCGTTGAGAGAACTTGGATCAATAACCGCTTAGTGTGTAAAAGAGTTTTTCTGCGTGTCTGTCCGTCAAATATAACAAGTATCAAGGTTTGGAGTTATCAGTAGATTTTATGTTATCGTACAAATTCTACAGCAGAGTGTAAAGACGGATCAAGGTGTCAAATTGCCTTTTTTCTGTTGATACACGACTGACCTAGCTGTGAGAGAACAGATATACGACATTCACAATGGGATAAATTAGTGATTCGGAGAAAAAAAAATGAAAAGACTGACACCCAGGTGTTAAATCGCTATGTTCCATGTCGGTTCATTCTTCAATTATGAATAGTGTTGTTTTGGAAAAGTTTACCAGCCGGTTGATTACTCTTAAGGGATATTTATATTTTTTTTGCAACGAAACTTGTTTTTCAATCTCAACACTTAATTTATACCTTTAGATAACCATTATCGTTCTGAAAGTTGAAAGGATGGATCTATTTTTTGTGTGATGGTAGTCATATATATATATTTATCAAGAAGTGACAATGAAAGGATATGCGGGGTTTAATATTATTTCGGACTTTTAGAAATTGTCGGAAGAAGTTGTGGTACCACGTCCTGTTGATTGGATGCTTACTTCTCGTTATAAGTGTTCTTAGTTTCAATAGTCGAGTCCTGTTACAAAACGGGTTTAGTTCACCAAGCTCCTCAGTAGAGGAGTTTTATTCCAAGCTTCCAGACTTTGGATATCATAACAGAAACTTGCGGAATATCTTGCCATACGACGGTACACACCGACGACGAAATGATCAACCAACGAGAAAATCCCTTAACAAAGCGTACAGACTTTCAGATAATTGGAACATGACTTTGACATCTGAATCTAGTCAAGCGAAAGTCCTGATGGAAAGGGACAACGAAGAACTAGAAGAGAGTGGAAGTGTAAGAAAACGACGTCTTCCCCAAGCTATAATCATTGGGGCGAAAAAGAGTGGGACTCGTGCCTTGTTGGAATTTCTACGTGTCCACCCAGACGTCCAGGCTACTGGTCCAGAGCCACACTTCTTTGATAAACACTATCACAAAGGACTTGAGTGGTACAGGTACGAATTTGCATAAAGTGGGGGAGGGTTTCGTTTGAGGGGATATGAACATGTTTTTCAGGTCAAAATAAATTTGCTGATGATCATGATGCATGGTTGAATATTAAGCCGACTAAAGTACTTTCTCTCTTTATCTCCTGTTTGATGTCCTTTAACTTTAAGCTAAAAAATAAATACAGAGAACATTTTTAATCAATAAATGACTGCTTTTTTCACGTCCTTATTATATATTTTATGTAGTCAATTATCTGTCACTGGTAGATCAAATATACGCAAGTTTGTACCGATGTTCATTCAAAACAAATGGGTACCTTGTTGTCCAAAACGAATGTGTAAGTTTTCAATTGTAAAACATTAAACGTGTCTCCGGTCATTTTCCTTTGAGAATCTTGTCACATTACCTTATACCCAAATGTAACATCATAGCGTGGATAATTTACGACTCGTCGAGTCAGATGTCGCTTTCTGATACTGTCGGTATCAAGTTTATTGTGAGGTCAGTGTTAATAATTTCATAAAAAAGATTTTGGCGTCTTTGTTAAAGGGATTCGAATTTAAATGAAGTTGTTTGGATGAATGAGTCGAGCAATGAACAGGCAAAAATCATATTAACACATGTATGATAAATGCTTTCACTGGCACCGATACACACTCTCGATTCGCTTCTGTACCTAGGTAAAATTAAACTTTTTGTGATTATCTGCATATCAGGGAGTCTGTGTCCATAAAACAAACTTCCATTTTTGCAATCAGAGATTCGTAATTTTTTGCAGATGATATCAGAGTCGTAATAACATAAAGCAAAAGTGACATTTATTGTCACGATTTGCCTCTACTAATCGTTTTATTGTGACGAATCTTGATATCGTTAGCGTTTTACTATGTGCCAACACTCGCAATCTTTTAAGTTTCTTGGTAGAAAATACATATTCTTTTGTATGATTCCAGCAAGAAAAAAAAGTTTTACATTTTTTTCCAGTCTTTTGTTTCCCTTATTCTTTTTAACATGTAAGAACAAATTCTCCTTTTAATGCCAATGCCCCTGCTAGCTAGGACCTTTGCCCTTTGCCCAATAGACTATAGACAACAGTTGATAGAATGCATATTAGCAAAAATTGAATCAAGACAAGCGAAAGCGAATTGTGAAAACACTGTTTTGCTAGGTTTAAAAAAAAACAAAAAAAAAAAAAAAAAACAAAAACAAAAACAAATTGTTAGAGATATCTTATAGTATAATCAACTTCATCCTAGTGTCTGATCTCTGGAAGCATTGGATACGAATGTCACTATCACTAATATGCTTATTATCATCATGCAAACAGTATATGGAGAGGGCTTAAATAGGCTATGCCTGCTGCCGAATTCCATTCCTTTTTGAGAATAAATTTCAATAAGATATTGTTTAAATGAAAAAAAAAATAACATGGAAGCAGTTTTTTGGCTCGACCTCCAACAAAAGGAAAATTCTTTTGGATTTTGACGGTTTTTACTCCACCCCAAGACCAAGATAAGGTTTTTTCCTGACTCAGACTCAGGGGACGATAAATTCATAATTTTCCTCTACCCAAAAAATCTTCTCTTTTTTTTTTTTTTATCAAAACTGGAAAATTTTCAGCAGTTTTGACGTACCTGGAGATATATCTTAAAAGACTACCCCACTATAAGGTGGACGTAAATGGATAGCAATAAGTCACCTGAAGGAATCAGGTGACTGTGTGATTGGTTGAAGTTGCAGAAGGCTAACGATATATTGCATTTTGCATATCTACATGTATGCATTTGTGTACGTAATATCAAAAATTATCTTAGCTGTATTATTATTTTTGAAAGAAATTTCTCGTTAGTTTGCTTTCAGTTATGAGATCTAAAATACAATCATAAGCACAAACAATCCATCAGAAAGCGGATATTTTACTCTTCATTCCGTCAGCTTTCTTTCTAACAAGAATACTGTATACGACGCGAAAATCAAATTTTATAAATTACCAAACTCTCATGAAGCGCTGAAAGTGAATCCAAACGATACAGGGCATTTCATTTGACGGGTGAATCCATTAGCAAATGAAATACCTTTATCAACTATATGCTATATGCAATCACTTTGATCATATCAAGTAGACATATAATGATAAGGAACCATAAATTTTTCTGATACTTTTACCTTTCCATTATATCAGTCATTGGTTATCAAATCTTATACATTCAATGCGAATTTAGATTATTAAAAGAATGTTTTCAATGCTGCTATTTTTCAAGAGTTGTAAAGCTTCATTACTTTATCATTTCTGGTTAAATAAAATAAGGAATCGCCTTTGACGTTATCGCCCATAAAACAGTTAATGTTTTAATGTATGCCACTTTAGAGGTTAGCAAAATATTATTTGCCTTCTCGACCAGACCTATTTTTTCTGGTAAATCCCATGACCAACTGAAAGTAGCTCTGGAAATAAGTCAGGTTAAGGACAACAATTTAGAATCTTGCCATTTCCAGAAATAGTAGACTTTTACATCAAAACTTTAAGGACTGTTAAATATGCCAAGATGAACTTTTTCTAGTCTTTTAACGATGACTGGTGAATCTACAAACGCTGACTGCATTCGCGTACAAGTACTTTTCTACCTAAACACAATTATGAGGCGAAGAACGTCCAATTTACTAGTAATTATCCAAAGAAAATAATCGATATCCACTATATGTTGCAATTAGCTTACTGAGATTGTCTGTTCGTAAGAAATAATACATGAACATCTCTAGTTTCTCATGAAAAGTTTCTTCGGAATAAAATTTCTAATAAAAAAAAAAGTTATTGTCCTCAATTAAACGAGCGTTTCGATTGATGTTTAATACAAAATATGTGTGTTAAAAGAAGCGAACACCAAAGTTTTCATCCTTTTTTTAAACATGACTGTTTCTGATGCGGAAGAATACTTGTCGACAGCTGTACAAAGAGTGTTATAGTCGTAGCAATCAGCTTGAACACGGTCTATTGGATATATTGTAATTACTAACAGATGAAATGTCGAAAAAATCTATTTTCAAACGGGAATTATATAGAACAGGTCATCAAAAACTCCAAAAGGTACATAAATCATTTATTATCAATAATTCCTGTAAAGCTTTTATACTGTGACGTTAGGTTAAAAGGTTAAACGAGAAAGAGGCCATGTATGTAAGAAGAAATCTCTCTCTCTCTCTCTCTCTCTCTCTGAAGCAGCAAATTCTGAAAAGGAAATATTGACTGAAATATTTTTTCGCTTTATTTTCACTCTGAATTGCATTTTAATTCATTTTTTTGAAGAAACAAGCCAACATTCAAAAGAAAAAAGGCAAAATTCGATTAAAATACCGATATCTATTATATCTTGAAACAGCTAATCAGCATAAACAACATTAATGTCGTGGAAACATTGCAATAGATTTCCTGTCAATGAAACTAATACCTTAAGTAATGTGTTTAATTAATAGTGCTGTTGAGCTCTTTGACTTCCGTTTTCGTTTTTATTAACAGCCTAGAATTGATTTTTTTTTCTTTCTGCGAATAGTTTTATAGAAAATAAATCGAAGAATTTGGTGCTATATTGGATATAAAATTTTTATGTTTTCTGTAAACACGTTTAGAGGATAATACCTAGTTGAAGTCATTTACCATAACGTTAAAATCGAAATCTCATTCCTCGACATCAAAAGTAAATTTCAACAGTTTTATTTTCTTCAGCAATTTTGACACATGTTCTGAATGCAATCATTTGGATCTCGTGTTCCTAATATTTCATAAACAAATTCTTTCCCGAATACCTCTTCCTCACAATTGGCTTACACGAGAGATACAAAGTATTGGATGTTTAAACCATTCCTTTGATTTCTCTAGGTCCATAATTTCACCAATTACCTCCTCTAATAAATATCTTGTTTGTAAGCTTTGAAGATACATAGATGGTTATTAGTTACAGACCAGAGCGAACTCACCCCCGGTAGAATGTTTACAATCAATCTGTAATGTAAATATGGATGAAACAAGTGTTACTGAAGCAAATTAACATTTAACTTCAGTTAAAGGTTGATAGTGCTCTTATTTTGAGCTGGTCGGGCATTCTTTTGGAAATGATAATCTGTTATCAAGATATACAAGTAGAATATTTTAGACAAAAACAGATATCTTTCCCCTTCTCCAATTATACCGCTGACCATCACTTTATGACCTTGACGTTTGAAATGTGCCAGATAGATTCAAGGTCATGACACATTATTAGATTGTCAGCCTAAACGTACATACTCAAGTTTGAATTCATTCTCGTCAAAGGTTTCAAAATTATGACCTTGACTTTATATTGTCTCCACACCCAATGACCTTGTCTCCTGACCTTGATTACTAATCACGACAAACATTTAGCTCAGAGGCAACAATTTATAAGAATTTAAAGCTACAAAGTCCAGGTTTCGAGTTGTATCCCGCACAGATTTAGGATGCATCACTCAGTACAATCTAGCTACACTGTCCCAATAATTTTCTACTGTAGGATGAGTGCTAGAGATCTGGCTTCGGGGCCATAAAACTTAGACGAACTCACTTTTGATCTCAGTCTCACTTTTACAAAAGGGATATATAGTGGAAAGGTGAGACTGAGATCAAAAGTGAGCCTGTCCAAGTTTTATGGCCACGGAGCCTGTACTGTAATAATAAGTTTTACTATTTATTTAAAATTCTTTTCAGGAACATGATGCCAGGGACGCTGCCACATCAGTTGACGATAGAGAAAACCCCCAGCTACCTCATCACAAAGGAGGTGCCATCTAGGGTTTACAGAATGTCAAATTTGACCAAACTAGTCTTAGTGGTGAGGGACCCAGTCACCCGTGCCATTTCAGACTATACACAGATTCTCAGCAAACATGGAGGAAAAGTCAAGTCTTTTCAAAGCTCTGCTTTTTTGAATAACGACACGACTAAAATTAATACGTCATGGATTGTGATAAGAATCGGTTTATATGTCAAGCATCTAGAGAATTGGTTATCTGTGTTTCCCTTGGAACAGATTCATTTTGTTCACGGCGAAAACTTAGTGACGAATCCGGGGGAGGAAATGAGGAAAGTGCAGGAGTTCCTAGGGTTGCGACCTTTCTTAACGGAAAAACACTTCTTTATGAACAAAACCCGAGGGTTTCCGTGTATCAGAAAAACTATAAACAGCAAGCGGTGGCACTGTCTGGATGAGAGCAAAGGTCGTAAACATCCCACATTACCCGCCAAAGTTATTTCCTCTCTCAGACGTTTTTATCGCCCCTATAACGCCAAATTTTACAAGATGACAAATATCAATTTTCACTGGACGTAGCTCTTCGCCATTACTCTATAGGCGATCAGATTAACCTTTTCCCTATTCAAAGACTGGGTTATGATTGCTCTTTGAGAGGTTGTCAGTAGCCTTAATTAGTGGTGAAAATGATTATCTGTTATGTTTTTATTGTGTATTATTATGTATTTCATTTCAGTGGCAATTCATTTGATTGAGGAAATGAATCAGTCGCATGTCAAATGATTGTAGGCAATACGGGTGGATTTATTATTTTTTGTTTCCAATAATTTTTCAGTATAACGTTAAACACTAAACTATATGTGTGTGCTGGAATAGAGGAGAATGTATTTTCATTTTTAAAATATTCAGTCTGTTGAAGGTATCCTCTGACAATACTCATTTATATACTGATGTCAGTAATTCAGTAACTATACAAACTAAACATGTCAGTAATTATACAAACTAAACATGTCGGTAATTATACAGACTAAACATGTCAGTAATTACACAGGCTACACATGTCAGTAATTATACAAACTAAACATGTCAGTAATATACAGGCTAAACATGTCAGTAATTATACAGGCTAAAAACGTCAGTAATTATACAGGCTAAACATGACAGTAATTACACAGACTTAAATGTCAGTAATTATACAGATTTAAATGTCAGTAATTATACAGACTAAACATGTCAGTAATTATACAGGCTAAACATGTCAGTAATTATACAGACTAAACATGTCAGTAATTATACAGGCTTAACATGTCAGTAATTATACAGGCTTAACAAGTCAGTAATTATACAGGCTAAACATGTCAGTAAAAACTAAACGTCAGTAATTATACAGCCTAAACATAGTAATTATACACACTAAACATGTCAGTAATTATACAAACTAAACATGTCAGTAATTATACAGGCTAAGCATGTCAGTAATTATACAGGCTAAACATGTCAGTTATTATACAGACTAAAAATGTCAGAACTAATTTTGATATGAACATATATGGGCTTAAACATATATTCAGAGACTTTGATATTTATGAATTCTTGAAAAAGTAATAGAGAATATTGTTACTTTTGTTTTGTTTTTTGTTTTTTTTTTTTTGCATCTGTAGCATACAGGAAGTATCTTCATCGAGGATATTACATTCTTTTTTTTCGCACAGAAACCACTTTGTTTTATAACTTGAAGAACTTTGTCTTCAAGATTTCGCGTTCTTTATTCTATTAATTGATCAAATTCAAATTCATTTTTTTTTCAAATTCCTACATTGCAGACATGAATAGAACATCTCTTAGTATATCTTTCTTTAAAATAAGTTACAAACTGAGAGTGCCTCGAAGATCATCCTTACATTTTTTACCCTACATTAATTTTTTTTTCATATAATTCAGACATTCACAATATAATCTACTAGACGATAAAATTTATTCCGATGACAAATGTCTGAAGCATTTCCTTTATACAAGATGACATGAAGCAACCTTGATAAGATATTGGTTGGAGGAAATCCTTTTTTATTTACTTTGTATTGAAGAAATGATTTTTTATCAACACGAAGAATGAATTTTTCCGTTATGTTTGAAGTCTTTAAATAAACGATTTTTTGTTATCTATTCAGTTTTGTTTGATTTATTTAGGATTTGGGGTCAAATTAAGAAAAATGTTACATTGCTACCAACAATGATATGCAGTGATATTTCTCTTATTAAATGTTACATTATAAATTGAAAGATTAAGATTATTTGTTCTATAGCTGTTTTCCTACTTAAGAGGGAAGAGCTGTTTAGTGGATTAGAAAGCAATTTTAAGGGATGTAAAAACAATGTTTTGGGTAAATCTTAAGTCATATCACCTTTACAGGTAATACAGCTGAAATTTATAGGAAACACACCTTATATAACTCACTTAGATATGCATCATCAAATAATATTCAACTAGAGAGTACATATAACACATGCGGGTCCTCTATAGATAGATAACTTTCTAGAACTATGTCAAGAGAATATAATTTTTTAAAAAAAAGTCTCTTTACAATATACTGTGAAAGCTTTACAGAAAATTAAGCGTTTCGTAAATTTTCTTCGAAAAATTTAATATACATTGTACTTACAATGTGCAGAAATTGTTATTGAGACTTACATTTTAGTATCTAAAGATACGCAGCATTTATAATTGTTTTTGCCACTTAATACATGTATTGCGTCCGTGAATCCTGGTTTCTTGTGCTCACCGTGCTTGATATAAATTTCTGGCTCGAAGAAATTTATAAATCACCTCTGGAGATTGACAGACGGTTAGTAAGCATTTTCCGCCATTAAAATGTGGATTATGAGTGTAGTTCTTAAGAATGAAATTTGAAGATAACGAACAGTAATCAAACTCTAAAGTCCATTGAAACAATACAAATTTGGAGCAGAGCAAACACAGACCTCTAAAAACATCAGAGTGGGATCAGGTGCCATGGAGGAGTAAGCATCCCCTGTAGACCGGTCACACCCGCCGTGTGCTCCTTGTTATGATCGGGCACACGAAAAAACTCGTAGACACTTCGGTGTAAAATAATGGCCTAACAATTTGTATGAAAACGTCAGTCAACATTCGACTTAATGATAGACCGTATTTGCTGACAAAGTCTTTGTGTATCGACCGAGAAGTCAATGCATGCACTTTATACTTCCAAAGAAGAGCAGGATTAAGACACTTACAGAAAAATTGCGGCATCAAGTTAACATATTAATATGATTTGTTCTCATCAATGAAGATAATTTCAGAGTTTTAAACATTCGAAGATTTTTTAACAAACTCTTTTTTACTTCATCCCAATGCCATTTTTTTTAAATATAATTTGTCTCTAGCAACAATTTCATTAGCACACTGACACTTATCTCTTTCTCTCCTTCAAGCTGGCCAAGATGTCATCAATCACTATTTTGTTTTATTGTTTTGGCACTCATCCCCCTTACACGTACAATTGCAGGAAGATCGTAATAGCATCAGACTCGAGTGACAACACACCGACCAGAGCTAGAGAACTATATCCCTCGAGGTTTTACTGGGACATGCAGATTTAGTTTGAGATTGTTATCTATTACTTACTACTCACACTCACTACAATTGCCTTGATTTTTTTTTTTTTTTTTTTTTTTTTTTTGCGTCTTGTCACCATGTTCTGTAAAATGTGGACAATTAAGATTTTTGGCTCACCTTGAACCATTTTAAAAGAAATTAAGTTATAATGCGTACTGTAGTGACTTTACTGGTATTATATTAACGACTATAACTTGTTGTGTTAGCTCTTACGTTTAGTGTTTCAAGTTTAATCGCTGTTGAACGACACATGCAGTTCTGTCAATAAAGTTGCAGACCAGTCAATGATGGAGAGGGGAAAAAATTTACCCAAAAAAAAAAAATTATCAAAGATTATATGCTTTTTCAGTTTGTATTCAATGGTTGAATATCTCCTCGATTCATTGACAGAAAACCAACCAGGTTACTATTTGGAACCCTTTAAGTAATTTTATAATACAAATACAATGTAGTAACTGCGACATTTCTGTCAAGTTAAAAATAAATATTTTTTTTTCGATTGCATTTTGGATTTCAAACATGTTATGCATTTGCGCTATGTTAAGAACCGTAAATTAATCCGTTTGTTTTGAAATATTGGGTTGTGTAAATACTTGACATCACCTTTTTGAAATGTCACACAGTTAGCATAGATAAAACTTCTAACTATCAAATATTTTTTATGTTTATTGAATATTAGATGCAATCTTCAATCATCCGTCTTTAGAGTGTGTCAGTAATGCACACCATACCGGTATCTGGAACAAAGGCTTTATTCAGCAGAAGAACAATAAGGGACAGTGTAGGTATTCTGTTCTCTCTTATGACAAATGTTTGCAACATAGTTACAGCCAAGCTGTAATTCAATTGTAATTGATACATAATACTGCAGAATTAATGGTTCCAAACTAGAATATTTTCTATTATGCATGTACAAGATTGGTTTACAATGTAGTTCTGACATTTAAAATAGATTCATTTCAGAATACATGAACTTTTTTCCTACTCAAGTTTTATGTAGCGGTAACTAAATGTATAGTAGTTAAATGCTAGTGTCATTAAAACATTTCCATTTTCAAGATTAGATGACACTTGTAAGGCATATATTATTGTGCTGTCTTTAAAAAGATGTTTTCATTCTCTTCTTCTTATTCCTAGGTGTAAAAATTAAAATCGATGCACAGAAAGTAATAAAAACAAGATGTGTTTACCCCCGTATAGTAGCTCATGGGGAATATTAAAGTTTCTTAAATGCAAATCAAACTCCAAGGTCAGGGTCAAGAGAATAAAAAATATTGGAGCCTAAAGAAAGGCTTGTCACAAGGAATACACCTGTGAAATATGACAGCTCTAGCACCAACCATTCAAAAGTTATGGTCAAGATTAATATTTTTTTCAAGTGTAGGACAAACTCCTAGGTCAAAGTCAAAAGATCAAAATTGCTGGTACACAAGGGAAGGTCTTGTAACAAGGAATACAACTGTGAAATATGAAAACACTATCACCGACTGTTCAAGGTTAAGGTTTTTTCAAAAATAGGTCAAACTCTAAGGTCAAGCTCAAATGGTCAAAATTGTTGGTACCCAGGGGAGGTCTTCTAACAGGAATACACATGTAAAGTATGAAAGCACCATAGTTAAAGTTTGGTAAAATTTTGCAAAAGTGGGTAAAAACTCTAAGGTCAAGAGGTCAAATATGTTGGTACCAAAAGAAAGGTCTTTTCACAAGAATTACACATGTGAAATACGAAAGCCCTAGCTCCACCAAGTCAAAAGTTATGGCAAGGTTTAAGTTTTTGCGGACAAACAGACAGACATATAGACAAAGCAAAAACTATATGCTTTGTCCAAATTTTCGATTACGGGGCATTAAAATGAGTAATACATGTAGTTCCAGTTGTGCGATTTCTATTTGGATTGAAATTTTTAATCGTTTCTCTTTTTATATGTACTCATCCAAGTGAAATTTTATACACGTATTTATACAATATATCAATGACTTTATACAATCTATGATTGATTATGGTCAGCTTATATCAATCGTACAAAATATCATTCAGAAGCTTATCAGTAAATGTAGGAAATAATAGAGATGTTCCAGTTCTAGCCTACACACCACCCCCGGGAATACTCCATTATCAGATCAGTACTAATGTGTTAACGACGTCCATTTATTTCTATAGATTATCACCTCCTTTTCTAAACAGAGGAACCAGAGTGCTCGTTTGGTGTTCTTGCGACTGTAACTTTGCCACCAGTTTCTCTCCATAACAAATGTCATAGCCATTACAAAGTACTAATGTAGTAATTCCTGACCAAAAAATGAAAATTGGTGTAAAGAGCTGAAAATTGACTTGTTTCGTGCTTTACAGGGTACGTACTGACAAGATAATGTTTGGAAGAGTTCATTTGCACTATAGTGTGTATATAGAATTGGTAAAACTGAGATTGTGTTTTTTTTTAATGTTTTAAGCATTGACGAATTTTTGATAAATTAAGCAAGACCTGTAAGAATATGCAAACAACAAAGCTTATATGTTACGTAGAGATTGACAAATTTGAATACATGTAATATACAAAAAAAGGATTTTTTTTATGTTTTGAAAATAAAGGAAATTCCTCTACACTGATTTCATATGTATTCCTTTGTAAAACTTGGACGCTATTTATACCAACCCTGGCCTTGAGTTCGTAATTTGAACAAAATGAACCAGCAATTCATTTAATTTAGCTCTTTAATTACAACAAATGGCCGGTAGTCTTCGTAATCGCTGTCGAGAAAGAGATTAATTAAATGGATAATTCTTTGCGTCACTCTTGATCCCGGATTCACAACTTGCAGAAACTTAATTTAAAAGTGTAAGTGAATACAATACTAAGCTAAATTCCTTTCGTTGACATTTTCCCGTAAGACCGATTTTTCCCTGATATCCCTTTTGATGCACCAACCTCATCTGAGAGGCCATTGATACTTTCATTAAAGAAAACTATAATGTATCTTTTGATCTTTCTACTCCAGCGAATGAAAGAATCATCCCTTGTTTTAATATTTCTTTATACTTCATAGATGCTTTTACTGTCATAAAATTGCGCATCTACCGGTACCATGTATCTTTACATAATTACTTTGTTATCCGCTCTGTTAGATTTATTTATTACATACTCCAAAGTTTTACAACTGTGTTATTAACCAAAGGATTCACATATAAAAAGTACGTGTGCATTACAGGATATATATATAGTCCCAAAATTTTTTTTAACAACCATGGAGTAATCCCGTGATGAAGACCACCTTGTCAACAAGACCTAAAGCTAAATTTAACACCCCTCATACAATTCAAATAAGCTAATTACAATGGACTTAGTAAAGAATAAAGCCACAAGGAATGATATTATCAAAATTCATCTAATTCTTCTGAGGAAAATGTTTAGAGTGTAACATCTTTTGTAAATTTTATCATAAAACCTTTTCTCGTTTTTATAAAAAAATTTTCTGCTCTTTTAAAGACGAAGGGTGATAAATAAAATTAATGATTTTCTTTAAAGAC